TCCCGTCGCAGAGGACAGTACGACTTTACCCCCAGACCGCCTCGTAGCACGATTACTCGTAGTACGGGGTCTCGCTGCTCCCCTTTGGCCTTCCTGGCATGGTTGTACCATGTAGAACGAAGTTCCAGCCAGTGTAGCCCGCGGGATCGCTGCAGCACTCAAGCCCGACCACCACGTCAAGGTGGCAGCTTTAGGTCGGGGTTGATGGGTTTACTTATCTTGGGAACTGCATAAGCCGTGACTGCATTGTTGCAGGTGAATTCGTTGCATATATCACCAAGTGTTGGGGAATGTCTTGTTTATGCCCTACCATCGTTTTCCAGAGGAAATTCTATTCTCCAATCCGATCCCTGTTCCCGAAAGGTTCCCGGAGAATAGGCCATGGTGTAACAGAACGAAATGAGACGTGCTACTTCAAGTTGATCTTTGTGGAGTCTTCGCACCCCCTTGCACTTGTCTATTAACCTTGCACAACATGACACGCATCTCACAGCCAAACTGTCCTTATAACACCTATGTACTGGACATGTCTCGGATTACTTTTGCAAGGCACGCTGAGTCGACTCCGCCTATGACATGTTCCTACATGATACTCAAATATGTTTATTTTAATCATTTTGGAAGGTGAGTACAAATTGAATCTCGTTTATAATTATCTTAAACTTTAAGGACGTCCACATGTTCCAGTTGGGATGATATTCAAGATATCTTAGTATTCCTGACAAAATTACTCGTAAGTTAGACGGGAACTTTCCAACAGCCTACTACAGCTTTCGTCACACATGTGGCTTACGGGGCAGAAGTACTCTCAGAAGTTTCATCAATAATATTTCCTACTTGAACAGTAATCCGCATGTAAGTTTATTTACAATCGACTGCAACTTCGCTTTTCCGGTGTACTCAGGGTAGCCACCTAACGGATGTCCGAATGTAGATTTCACCGGGGAGATCGGGAAGGGATGCTTTCCAATGAAGGCAAAAGCTCGTGTGCATGTGCATCATTGAGCGCGCGACTCGGCCATGTGTGGCAATAACTAATTCGTCAAGTCTTGTGTCCTCATCCAGGAAGATGGCATCATCGACATCATGACATCAGTGTTCAACACGGGTGCTCCGCGGCCGTATAACCATGATTTACTTGAAAGCCTTATTTTGGAGAAAAGAATATGGGTGGATGGATGAGGGACTTGGTGCTAGTATTCCGAGCCGCCTACACCTCCAAACACATTCAGGCAGTCTGGATAGAAACTGACAACAAGAACACCATTGATATTGATTATCAGCCATATCTTGCGGCGTCTACAAACAGGCACAGTGGAGATCACGCGGTCTATATCTTGGAAATTGAGTCACACCGACTTAGTAATCTCGTCCACATCCCTCTACCTGGTCAAAGGTTGACCAGCTTCCTACTTTCGCCACTCTGAACTGGGCACGGCGGAAGATGGTTCGATATGCGCACTACATGGCCTAACCAACACAGCTTCTGCTGCTGGACATGTATCGCGATATCTCGAATATCGTAGTGACTGGAACATTAGGCGGCCTGGTGCAGCACATTTAGTTGCCAGGAAACATCACAAACGAGAGATTCAGCTGAACTCCAGGTGAGTGTCTCGAAAAACCAAAATAGTTTGCAAATGGGTGTATTTCGCTAACCTGCGTGTTCTCTTCGAAAATGAGAACCATGTGATCTGCATTTTCTAGACTGACAAGGTTTTTGTCCGCAGCTGTTTGAACGCCAAGGTTTTGAAGACCTTCCAACTTCCATCTAATTATATCATCGACTACGAAATTAAATAGGGATGGAGGGAGTGGGCGCCCCTGATGGGCAGGCGTGTCAGGGACATACAGGCTGCGTCTTGGAAGTTCAGGAATACTAAAACAGTGGGCATCAGAAGGAATGTGAAAATTTGGTCAACCCAACAGATACATGCCCGGATTCCCGTTTGCCACTTTCGAGTCAGTGTTTCATCAGTCACCATGTCGCGACGAAGAACAAGTGAAACCAAGTCTCGTTACGACCGCGGTCAAGCTTATCCCTGTTACCACACTCACCGCGGGCCCTGTTTTTGAAAACGGGGACTATCATCTATTCTCCCTAGTTGTGTGGGGCACTCCTTTTCCAAAATACAGACGGACAGATCAGACAAGTGCTGACTGAGGACTTCACCCCCATCTTTGAGCAATACGGGTCATCTGGACCAGGAGCTTGGTGGCGCTTGAGAGGACGTATGCAGTCATAAACCTCCGAGGCCGTAGGCTTTCGAAGTTTACCATCTAGGGTTTTATGTCAGCTGTAGGCTGCAGAGGAGTGGCAGCTGGCGGTCACAAGAATTATTCAAAGTACTCGGCCCAAGATGATCGCTCCACCCTGGACCAACTGATTTAACTACCGAGCGTTTCTGTTTTCTGGGCCCCTTATGTTTCCTTAGCTTTCCGAGTCAACCAGGCCACACGGCCGGCGCGCACGCTCAGTTACATGGCGTCTGACGGTTCATCAGGCTAAACTATGTCCGGGATCGGCTGGGATATTTCTCTGAGATTTAAGCAGTCACTGTTCGGTCTGATATACAGTGCTTTAGCGGGCCTCGTAGTGCTGTCCCACAGGCAAAACTTCCAGCAGTGTGCAAAGAAGTGGTCACATCATTCCAGCATGAATTTTCATCTGATGGTGGAGCTAATGGGAGAGATTTCGGAGGACGATTCTGGTCAATTCGTCTAACATCCGGATCTGCCAGTCTCTCAGTTACTAAGCCATTTGTGTGCCATGTGGAACGAAGGAATCGTCTCCGGACGAGAGCTTGGAGAATCAACAAATGTGTTCCGAAACGAGAGGCAGTCAAATATTGATATGCGCCATCGGTAACTGGAGGTGATGCGATAAACTTGAGTTCGTAGTTAGTAGGCCGTTGGCCAGACTACTATGGCTATTTTGGAAGTCGGCATTGCATAAAAACACCTGCGGTTAGCACATAACTGAAGTAACTGTTCGCCGTATGTACCGAGCCCAATCCATGTAGACCACCTAATCCAACCTCAGAGGTCTGACCACCTGTGCACTCAGATCTCCGACAGCCACCACGACATCTGAGCAGGGCATTGAAGGCGTCATAAAGCTTGTCTTAGGTGGTGTCAGATTTATATTCGGTTGGAGCGCAAGTAGACATGACAAACAAAACGAACAACTTCCCGTTCCAACCATCATCCTGGAAGGCCAGGATACCGTGTTGGTCAGACCTTTAAACAATGATCAATCTGGACTCCGCGATTGTCGCAGGAATAACCCCGCATTATAGCACAATGAGTCGCGGGTGCAAACAAACCGTCACACCATGGTAAGCCCCAGGCCCTTCGTGACGGCCAGGGAGACGGCAATAAGCAGCGCAGTCGTTTGCTGACAATGGCTTGTCTATGGAGGAGAATGTCGGTAGCTCAGGTAGCGTAGATGGTCGTTGGCTTGTTCGCTGAGCCGGGTAATTTGGTTGCAAACTTTTCTTCACCAATCGAGGTGACATCAGTGCGTAGCGGTGGTGTTCGCTGACCGGGTAATTTGGTTGCAAACTTTTCTTCACCAATCGAGGTGACATCAGTGCGTAGCGGTGGGTTAGTGCTTGTGCTTGTCATTCACTACCAAGTCACTGCTTGATCTCTCATGGCTCGTTTTCATCCTTCGCGTGTTTGCGCGGAAAGGGCCTTCCGTGAAGGCCAGTCGAGCGGCACACGCAACCCGTGGCCAAGTCGGCGCAACCTATGGGGAGTGGTCAGTTGACATATCGTGTACGAGTTATTTCTTCCGACAATTTGATGTACTGTTCCGGACTCTGACAGTGCTCCGAAGACACCGATGTTCAAAGCAATTTTTTTTTTACAGTGAGCAGAACGCATTAGCCAGGTCTCTGACCCATATAACAATGTGCATCGCACAACGTCTGCGCTACAGGTAACGCAAGTTGACGAAAAATATGAAAAATGGCCTGCGTTTTGAGAAAGCCGTAGGTGCTTCAGGGACTACACAGGATCGGTGATTTCCGCAAGCGCTTTCGGGTGAACGACTAATACCGCAAGATCTGATATTCTACACGTAGTTCATAATAACTTCAAAGGCTGATTCTCGCCCCAGTACGTAATTCTCCCCGACAGGTTCTGAAATGTCCTTAGGTCAAGACTCATCTTGTAGGGTAAGTAGTAAGGCTTTTCCCTTTATAGTCTGTCCCATATGTACGCCTAAAAAGAGACCCATCACACCCGCAAAAGTAGTCCTCCAAGGTTGTTGCAATCATTTCCCCACACTAGTGCTGCATTGAGTGATTATGAGTTTCCCATGCTCATCGGATCCGGTTGATTCCGTTCGTAAGCATAACCCACACAAAATACTGAAACGTCCCCTACAGAGTTAGTGCTCTCTGAAGACAAGCCAGTGTGTGTAGATGTCAAGGTTGCTGGAAGCGAGAGTCATCTGAGTTCCAGGTGAGTCTCCCGTCAAAACCAAATTGGTATGCGCGATTCCGTGAAAAGAGGAGGAACAAACCAAACGCCTGACACGAGTGAGTGACACCGGAATGATCACTCTAGTTATCCGAGTCATCTGGTTCCAGGTGAGCCTCCCGTCAAAACCAAATTGGTATGCGCGATTCCGTGAAAAGAGGAGGAACAAACCAAACGCCTGACACGAGTGAGTGACACCGGAATGATCACTCTAGTTATCCGGTAATGAGGACACCTTCGGATTTTTGGCTGAAGACACTGTTCATGCTCCTAAGTGAACGTCTCGTATCCTTTATCGTTTGACTTACAATGTAACTGCGTCTTGTTCTTTTTAATTAAAGGGGATTAGCACCGCTTCTAATCACAGTTTTAGAAATGCCGTGGGCATCATGATCATGTATAAAGCACCTGATATGAGCGTCTTTAATATCAGGCCTATCGATTATGGGTGAAAAACTTAAACTATGGAAGCAAAAGACTAATACAATGGAAACTATTTCATTATGAGTAACGCGGTGTGCATGTACCAGCAAAATAAATTTCAATATCACATATCACTGAGACCAGATCCGGAGTTCAGAGTCCATTTTTCGCCTGCGGCCCTTCTGAAGCCTCTGACAAGCTATCCGGTTCAACACTAGGACTGCTTTCATGTTGGAATAGCCCATCCTCCGCATTTCTAGATGGAAAGCCAGGAGACCAGTCCTGTGATAAAGGGATAAGGGAGAACGTGATAAATTATGCCAATGTTCAAGAAATCAGTTTGCATTACCGACAACCGCTTAACGCAAGCTAGAGTGTGGACAGAGGTTTTAAGTGCAAACCTCTGGTTCATTTGAAACATTATAATCCACGTAAGTCCAACGGAAAAGATGACTAGTTCCTCGAAGTGGAGAGCGTGGCAGACATAAGAAGCTTATTTATCGGATGCAGTGAAAGAAATGTGCACCAGAGTCAAGCGATGGGCTTCCATTTCAAACATTCATAAGCGTCCCATTTTATCGGAAAAATAACCCAACTATCAGAATGTGTAGTTTTCTATAGAGGAAAATGTTGGTAGCTCAGGTATCGTAGATGGTGGAGGATGTGTTCATGCAGGATGCCTGGCCGTTTGAGACTACACATTCTGGTGGTCGTTGGCTTGTTCGCTGAGCTGGGCAATTTGATTGCCCAGCTCAGCGAACAAGCCAACGACCACCAGAATGTGTAGTCTCAAACGGCCAGGCATCCTGCATGAACACATCCTTAAATCTAAGGACGATCACAAAACCATTTCCAACACACAACGTGTGAATGGAATTTGTGCCTTGTGTGTACCTCCTTGAAAGCGGTCGCTAAGTGAAGGGTCGTCAGGCAGGACTCTATCTGCCAAGTATTCCAGGCAGTTTTCTCTTTCCACGAAACTGGAAGCAGATTTCACCACTCGCAAAACCGACATCAACGGTTCAATTTTGGTCCACAAAAGCACGTAGACATGTCATTTACTTTCGTGACAGCAATTAAATATAATTTCTCTGATGGAATTCCGATCCGATCGCATTCCTGGTTACGGGAAGCGTCCATGCCCACAGCAATTGCTATTCCCACTTTTGCTATGCTGGTATCGTGATAACACCGGGATGTCACGCCGTTCCTGAAGATCATGAAATTGTGAACGATTGGACTGGAGGTGAGTCGGCTGGTGGACAGACGAATAAATGATGACTAACAGTAACCACTTACTCTATTTTTTAAAGAAACATCATTGGAGAACAAACTGTCTGGTAATGGGTCGTGGTCTAGTACACTGGGTCGAGCACAGCCACAACAAACCGGTAAACGCCAATTATATTCTTTGATCGCCATATTCCATTGTTTATAAATTTTGACATTTCTGCCAGCCAGATGTATGCAGTGTGGGGTTTCCTCCAGAAATAATGAATCCTACAAGATTTCCTGGCTGCCCTCAATTTTAGGCATTTGATGGAATATAAACGGCTCTTGATTGCTTAAGTATGCCTGATTGTCTGTCTGCTACCGCAGAATCCAAGATATTCTCCATTCAGTTCTGGATATCCACAAGTAATGCTAAGGGACCCTGTCTAGGCTTGGGCAACCTGGCAGTATCTCAGCCCTCATGCATCCTTCGGGTGGCATGACAGCTAGGCATCGAAAGGGTATCACAGCTGAATGATGCTTGCTGATCTTTGAAACCTTAGACAGTGCTTGAAAGGCGATCAGTACGGTGCAGATTCCCGGCAGGAACCGGGTTTACTTTTTTTAAACTCAGATCATAACGTTGCCTGATGAGCGCCATTTGTAAGTTGTTTGACGGATGAAAGTATTCGGCATAACTCAAACCAACAATCCAGTTGACAATATATTTTTATCTATAATCTAAGCGGCAATATGGTGGGGTCTCATGGTAGCGATTTGTGAAATCCAGTTTGCGAATCTCAACTATCATTAGGTTATTCAAACCAAATTACGGGGCCCCCTGGGAAACTGTAATCAACCGTTGCTAAGTGTGGGTTTTCGGAAGATGATTCTCAGTACTAGTAAGGGAAAAGATATCGGCATCAGTGCAGAACACAGGTGCATCACTACAGTTCAAATCATTAACTAACCACCCAGAGTATGGAGTTGCCGTAATTTTCTAATCAATATCATATTTCTTAGAGAAGTTACTGTTGGAATTTCTCTGCCGATAGGCTTAGTTGGATACAGCAGATGGACAGTAAAGCTTTCATCCAGGTTGCGCTTAATATCTTTATTTTGAATCGTCTCATGCCTAACAACGGTTATTAACCGTATAAGAACCTTGCATTTCGGAAAAGTTTTAGAAAACTATCAGTAGCTTTATTGCTGGGCGACATTTCGATTTTGATACAAAAGCTGCGTCAGATCTAATAATTAAAAAAAACGCCTCCCATAGTGTTTTCCAGAGACGCCAAGTCATCATTTCAAGGGTGGATTGCACTTCGGCACAGGACCTACATGCGAATCGCTCGGTCCAAGCAAAAGTTGAGCGTGTTCAAATCCTAAACACCTCATGGAATAAGCGGGAAGCACCAAGCTCACTTTATTCACTGGACGAAAATAAGGAAAAGCCACACATCTGACCATCAGCTCCATTTAGTGTTTTTGGCTGCGTCTGTCGAAAAAGAGTTGAATTAAAAAGTTGGGAATAACGGGAGTTTTTTCGCGCTTTAAGGTCCATAGGAGCTACGTTTCTCATACAAGTGCATTCCTATTGAAAAAATAGTGGATCTCTGGGTGTTTCTAAGGTGAAAATCTCGTCCTTGTCCAGGATTACTCATGTAAAATTCCGGGGATTTATTGAATGATCAGACCAAAATGAAATGTAATCATGACAGGACATAAGACTGGTCTGCAGTCGAAAGAAAACGCCTTACTTGTCAGTGGTTCAGTGACGAAAGTGAAACACTTCGCTTAAGGTACGGTGGAGTTTTCAACTCACATGGAACTCATTCCGATACAACGGTTTCGCTTCGGTTGGCCTCGGCTCAAGTTCAGATAGAGTGGAAGGTCCTATTGACCGCTTCATCTCCGGAGAATTCGGCTCGTCCTCAAACGCAGTTGCAAGAGGTGAGCCCGGAATAGGTTGGAAGTTGGTGGGTCGTACTTCCAATGGTGGGCGGACTACGATGTCATGGCTTGTTCCAGTGATGGTCCCTATATCTTCTGCATCCGAATCATAAACGTTAATCACCTCTTGTTTTGCTCTCCAATCCGCAGGACGTGAGGGATGGTTAGAAGAGATTCCATTTGAGAGCCTCGGAAAACCATCAGAAAAGCTAATGAAGTGGGAGCGAAAATAAAAAGATTGGGCAAAAAAATATAAAAAACAAGGCGAGCCGTAGAGTGACCTTACTTTCAATTCCACAGTTCAGGAACACCCTGAGTGAGAACGAGTAAGTTTGATTTCGTAAAGCGAGCAGAATATAATATTCTTTAAGTAACGTTTTAGGTCTCGCAGAAACACCAGCGTTTTCCAGCATTATGCCGGCCATGTCTCCCAAAGTGAGTGATCCCATTTCGAAATGGAAATGATAACGCTAACGTGACGACTGGTGGCACACTTAGACGTCCAGACAGCATATAGTTATAAAAAAGTATCTAAAAAATCTCTTGAATATGATAGTCAAGCAGATCGCTAACGGCTTTAATCAACTGAAAATGAATAAACTTCTGTCGTATTAAAGAAGTGGTTATATTTAGTGAGACTAACATCCTATCCCCTGTAAGTTACGTCAGAAGCTAAATGGTTGCGTTACAGTGTGTCATTGCTTTATCACTCGGAAAATAATTTGGGATTCAGTAACTCATCAGCCGGCAGATCGAGTCAGCCGTCTGCAATGTGAATTTAGTGTTGAGAAAAACAGTGACCACGTATCAACTGAACAGCGTTAGAAAATCTACGCGGTGACGCAATTAGGAAGTACAGAAAGATAACACCGAATTAAACGTCGTCCTCATGTAAACATCTCCATTCAAACGTCCTCATACAAACACTAACTGAATTGCCGCTACCCACGAAATGTTTTTTACAATGACTTAGCCGACCAAGATGTTTCTTTTGCAGAACAAACGCAAATGTTGAGACTCGTAAGAGACTTGACTGCTGGTTAATAGTCAAATAAACATTCGATACGTTTGCACGAATCTCAGGAAGGACCTGATGGGTACCAAGCGGTGGGTTTGTTGTTTCTACAAAGGGAACTGGTCGGTTCCGGAACAACAGATCAGTAAGCGTTTTCCCTGACTAATACCCATCGGGGGGATGTAACAAGATTTGGTTATTCTACGTTTAAGTTCGAAGTTCACACCAACACCATGGAGTTACCGTTCCCACTCGGGAAGTGGCTTATATGAACTCGAGTACTTTTTCTTGGTTGAAAAATTCGTGAGATTTGTTACGAGTCCGCCTTGGACAATTGGATAGATGGTTCCAGCTCTCATGGAGGACCTCTCAGCCATGGGTTTCAACATAAAGATAATTGGATTCACACATGTCGTGGGCACAGGCGAAGTCAGCGGATGCTCAGTGCTGGAATGCAAACTGTAAACTTTGAATCCGAACGCCAGAAGACTATATCCTGTGATATTCAACTGATATGTCCAAGTCAGGACAAAAAGCCTGAGGGGCCAATCAATTCTGTTTCATAATTGACTCGAGTCTTTATATACCATAGTTAACGACTGATGGAATGAAAATGAAGAAAATACTCCCATGCTTAAGCAGATGACATATATGCCTCGTACAAGTCAGGAACTGCTATAGTTTTACCTATCAGTGGTCACCATTTTAGAATGTACCCAACTGAACCAATGCATTTTCATACAGATAATAGTGGTGGAGCAAAAACCTACTGTTTCGAAGTTCTACCCCACAGAAAGATTTTGAAACTGGACGACACAATCAGACTTCAAATGGAACATCACTATCTCGCTTTAGTAGCTGGGTAAACAAAGCCAAGGAGCGATTGAATGACTGAATACTTTGTCCTGAATGATGACAAAAATTTACACACGATGCTTTTACAACTGATTGGCTTACGTTTAGATGACGTTTCTAAACAGTACCGGACTATTTCCCGTGAAATGAAATTTCCAGTGTCTGGACCTTCAGACATGATCATCAAGTGTGTTTCGGTGGATGTGAGTTACAATTAACCCTAATCCTGGTCCCAACAAGTTTGCTGCGATGCAGGAGGCGAATCCCACCGTATTAAGTCAAATTAGCAAAGAATGAACAGATGATGGACTGGATCAGTTCTAGCATGAAATCGTTTAATGCGTTCTTTGACATACACAACACCTAGTGCCGCCGCGGTTGCAAATATACACAGTGTCTTTGAAAGATATAGGGAAACTAACCTTTTGCCGCTGGTCATTTGTTGAGTTGCGTGCTGCTGCGGGCTGCGGTTGCACAATGCAAACAGCTTTTGTGAGGGAGGGGTATCTCCACGGGCAGATGTGGTGTACAGGACGGATTGGGAAGGAGCATTGAAAGCGGATATCGAAGTCGACGACGGACTCAGTGAGTCGGGAGCTCCGGTGGTGGTGAGTCGCCGAGACTGATTATTCAGCTCATTGGACAAGCGTAGCTGTTTTGAAGCTTCTTCTTTCCACGCCTTTAACTCTTGCACCTAGGAAATGAAGTTGATAACTACATGGTAGGAGGAGGAAGAATCCGGTAATGAATAAATTTATTGCTTAGCAACGTATCCCTTTTGATACAAAGGCTTTGTCGGACCAAGTAGATAATACACCAGATCGGCAGAACTTTAAATTAGACGTAGAACCAGCTGACGAGGTTTCCTACAACTAGCAAAATTAGTCAGTGTTGAATGTTGGTCAAGAGTTCTCGTGGGCACTTAGGGGCGAGTTAGGGGTGAATCATCGTTAAAAGACACCGGGCTTGGGGCTCTGTACTTTCAGCTTAGATCAATTTAGGCGGATATTCCCCTGGGGTGTAGTCCAAAAACATTGTCAACCTGCATGGGTCGGCAAGCATAAGGATTCGGGGTTAAGATGATTAAATGGCTTTGTACGTTAGACCCAGACCAATAAATATGACACCATGTCAACTCGGCTAACCTAAAACCGCTGTCTACAGGCCTGCCAGTTCAACATTCTACTCATTCTGTAGTGTTTGGCTATTCCCATGACCTAAGCCACCAGTCGCTAAGGGATGAGTTTTGGTCCTCGTCTCAAACCTGCTACATTTTTCAAGTATACTCTGCACCCAGTGTTCTATGGCTGCTCTATCAATGCCTAGTCTGTAGCTGTCGCCCGATAATCATGTGTGTTTCTTGGTGTTTTGTTCGTGTACTGCTTGCGTTCATCGATTCTGATGTGCAGCTCCCTGAGTATACTGAACTACCTACGTACTAAAGGACTGTATATCAGGTTCGCTGGAAGAAGCTTCTACAGAGAACTGATCACCCAGTTGTGTACCTCAAAGAGTGGTAATGTGCGATCCTGTGCTAAGGCCCTGATCTCAAAGCAAGGAATAGGTTACTTAGCCTAAACGCACGACCTGGGTGTCCTATCTGACAGGTAACGTGTAGTCTAATTCACCAACGGACGGTCAGTAATAATTGCGGCGAAACCGAATTCTACGAACTTTACCTGCGTTTGTTCAGTAGTCGCAATTGGGCAGTGAACAATATATATTGAATTGGACTTGGGCAGACAGTACAGTGCATGTTCTATAGGAAATTAACCTTAAATCGTGAGGAGAATTAAAGAAAGTCTTACGGCTAGATTGAACCTTGGCCAGTCAGCAACACAGGATGTCACACGAAGGGCAGTGTGCTATCGGACAAATTAAGCGGAAAATTGTTGTTCAGTTCAAAGTGGGACAAAATTTCAACAAGTCCAGAAATAAATGTAAACAAATCGTCTATAGAAATGGTTGAGGTAGAGTCAGCTTTGTATAAAATAGAACGGTTCAGTCTTGAAACTTGAGCAGTCACGGAAGGGTGATGAACTAGCCTGAGGAATAGGGAAACAAATAATTACGTCACGTAATTAACAGGTAATGAAGGCAGATTTCAATGCACAGGTAGGACACACAGAGACACGCATCGGTGATATGTGTAATCTGGATGCAGGACAAAAAATAACGGTGGACCTCTTCTGCAACTTCACACAGATCACTAGTCGTTTCCCAGAAGTATTGTGTTTGGAAGAAATGGGTATCGGTGTGCTACCTGGCGTCTCCCGGCCGTTGAGCAATATCGGAGTGCGACTGGCCATATTGCTAACAGGTACAGATGGCGCGCTTTAGTCTTCAATCACTGATAGTTTTGGAATACACTGACTGATTCAAACCGATGCAGGTTTTTACTAAATCTTCCGGGCTAGCCTCGGAAACAAGTTCAGAATTTGGCAGTAAAGTTTCGTCAGCAGGAAGCCAGGAAAACACACCAAAATTTAATAAGTAGTGCACAATAAGCAACCTCCTCGGAAGACAGTGACCGTAAATGGGACCAGATAATCACGACTATACGTGACATCATGAATTCAGCTTGTGGTGACTGGGAGCATCACTATCACCTCCTGAGACGAGACGCTCTATTAATCCGACCAGAGTACAGCGATTGATTAGATGCCGCCTGTGTGTAGAAAGAGAAGTGTGGTGGAACCAGATAGTTCAATAAATTAAGGAGAAAGGTGATTCGGAATGTGCAGGAGCTGTTCAAGCCGATTCACAGAAGGTCTTCTGTAATTAGGTCACTCAAAGCTGGTATTGGAAAATTGTTTTACACAGTAAAGATCAGCGTCTAAATCGCACCAGTATAGTTGGCTCTGTGCTAGCTGTTACTATGTCTTTGATGTGACCCGCTCATTTTGAGTGGGTTTAAATCCTCCATCAGCTTCTACCTTGAAGTGCTATTGGGCTAGCTGACCTTGCCCCACCATTATTGAAAGATACAGAGGGAGTATTTTGTTACGCCTTGACTAAATTGCGCGTACGTATTTGAGAAAAAGTGATCCAGTAGTGACCACACCCGTGTTCGAAAAATACATTTGAACCATAGGAGTATAAGTCTCACAAGTGTCTCCTGTTTTACCGTGACTCCCATTTTCGGCACGTAAGGCGAAAGCACGATTTTAACTTGGGAATGAGCCCACCATGAGCAAAAGGGCATCACGCATGTCGGCGCCAAACGATGATAGAGAAACTAGGATTTAACTCATTCATGGTTAATGACACTAGAGCACATGGCTCAATAACGTAGTCAGTGATGTTATTACATCAAAGCTACAGAGATCAGTACGCAAGTGTCCAATTTTCCAATTCGTCAAATAAACTAGACTGGTATTACCCCAACTGAATACTTATACCAATGCCTCCAGTTCTTGGCTACTTCTCCGTCGCTCCGCCATTTTCCGGTGACCGAAACCGTAGTAGCTGGGACCAACTGCCTTTGGTGCATGATCAGTGGCTAACAAATTGAAATAGAATGAACTGAACATATCTAACTGTATGTCTGTCCCGAACAAGACACGAAGTTGTTGACGTTGAAATGAGAGAGAAGTTTCGCCAAGAGCCAAACTGATGACGAATCATTACGTTGCAATCCCCACCGCAAGACTTTGGAGCCATGAAAAGCCCAGCTACCTACCTAAACGACAACTAAGGAAGTGTACGGACACACCTGAGTTCCTGCACTGTGTCTACCATCATTTGGCTCTAGTAGAGCCAAGAAATTCCATAAACCGTCCGACTTTTTCACCGCAGCTCGTGTGGAAATTACCGAAGGTTCCAAAATCGAGAAATAGGGTAAACTAAAATATACTACAAAGACCCATTTCCCAGATCGGGAAGAAGATGGACGTACATGCGAAGACCCCAAGAATGCAGTGACAAAATTATTGGATCATCTGGGTCTAGCAAGCTGTTTACATGTAGCCGTCCAATATTTCTTCAGCCCAATCAATCGATAAGCACCATGGTCGGTCAGGTGCATCGACAGCTGATTCGAAATGGCAAACTATCAGATCACTTGTTTTTATGGTTCTCTATTCTGGCATATGATGTGGGGCCTAACATATGGCTAGTAGCATATAGATTTCTCTAGTGTTTCCGTTGCACTATTGATCCGACCGTGGTATCGATTGTTATATGGGCTCACCGTTGAACGATTTTTGGGCACAACACAGCATTGAATTTGTCCACTTTGTCAACTGTCACTCAAATTTGACCGTATTTCTCCTTTACCTTCAACTACAAGTCTAGTTCAAAACAACCTTGATTCACAAAAGCCCATAACACCGAAGTTAGACTAGGGATTAAAATATCGAGAGGATCTTGAATGTCTGATAAAAGGAAGGGGGATGCAGCAATGTTCCTCGTAATTTGTAGGGGATCTCCCAAGGCGATTGAGACGATTCCGAAACGCCACAAATTATTACACCCAGACAAGAAGTGTAACTGTAACGGTAAATGAAGACTCAGAATACTTTCTGTCTTCCAGCATGATAGACTGTTTCGTGTGAATAAGAAAAGGGTCAACGAAGGTGTTTTTTGGTGATAGAGGGTCCTCGTATCTTGGCTGCAACTGCACTAGAGGAACTTCATTGAATATATTCGTATTATGTCTACTTCGTCATCCAAGATAGGATACAATAGCGCCTTCCCCTAAGTGAGAACACCGGGCGCGAGGCTATTTCCAGAGGCACTTCGTATCAAGTATTGGCTGACGGGACTCTTCTGGAGAGTTTGGTGGATTCTGTTATTGTTTGCGATTCAAGAACTTCTTTCCCTTACCCAGGTTCCACAGTAGCCTGTCGTTTTGATGTCACCAGACCTGATATTGGCGTGATTTTGTCACGTACAGTTCCAAGTACATTTGGTCGGATATGTAACTGATTTGGGCTGCTCCACTTCAACGTTTGGCTAATCCCTTTTTGCTCCAAAGCACTCTACACCGTTGTAATGGGGTTGGAGTATCGCGACGCATCTTGTTTTCTCTTTTCTTTCAACTATAAAACTAAGGTTTTCTGCTTAATTAGACAGTGCTAACATCACAATCAAAGACTAGATTTGGTGCCCAGTTTATTATGCATGCTCAAACCGTCCCAGTGAAGCGTTAGCACTAGACGACTAATTGGACAAGGTGATCTGGTAGTGTTCAATCAGTCCACGGAACGGGGTGGTGACATCTTGTCACTTATGTCCAACCAGTCCGAGTCCAACGGCCAATATCTTTGGTAGGTATAGACTTTTGGGGCTGTCCTACTGTTCTTGCACCCGTAAGTGGTGTCAAGTGATGAAAACCCAGGATTAGCTGAGGAAACCTGTTGAATCAAGTGAGTGAGGGATCGCGATTACTATGTGAAAATCAGAGGTTGCGAAATCGGTCGATGCTGCATCTTCATCTAGGCCTGCATGTCAAAATGCCATTCCTCTACTTAAGGACACGCCACAAATGCACCGAAATAAGAAAGAAATAGTCCTCTAGACCGAGATATCCCCAAGTTGGAGTACACTGGTAACCCACCTCTTGTAGCAAAAACTCAATGGCTTTGGAGTGGAGCTGACGTAATTTGGCTTCCGCTTGAGCAGCCTCGTATTGGGCTTGGAGCTGTGTACGGAGAAAGACGATGTGATCTTGCAGCATACCTGGGTGAAACCCGCACGACGAGCAAAGACCTTCTGAAGTAGAGGGACGAGAAACACTTGACCACTCGGGCGGCTGCGTCAGTGTTCTCTGGGATTCAGGCTCAAACTTATGTAGTGATTGGTTGTCAACCAAGGGAGAATTGTGTGTCCGGTTTGGGGTTGGTAAGTTAGATTTCCGTGAGGGTGGTGTCTTAAGGCAATGTGGTAGCTGTTGAACAGGCCGAAGGGATGAACGTTCAGAAGAATTCCGGAATGGTGCCGGGTGACGCAAATCTGGGACAGAACGAAGGGAAAAAGTAGAGAGAGGCCATTCTTTAATTCCGTATAACCTGGGCATGCGTAACATTGCAAAAGGACACAGACTGTGGAAAGCTAACAATTCGTTCCTATCTCACCAGCCACATAAAAAAACGGTTTCCACAGTTTTAATATAGATAAAACGATAAATGCAGTTAACGAGTATGTGACCATCTATCACAGAGCGCACGAAATGTACACAGATGATCTTCCTTCCGAGTTCCCTCTTCACCGGATAGCAGAATATTTGTGATCATATCGCTACTAAACAAAGCCCCATACGTGGTACAACATATTATGCCGGAGAACTGTTACTCCTCTGCACCGAAAACATCAACATGGAATTAGAGGGCAAACCTCCCAGACAACTTGAGAACTCAAACACCAGCCGGCTTTAGCGGACAACGTTCTGACTATAGTCAACCAGCACCTATCGGACGGCATTTCCTTTACAACCTCCCATGTACCCCATGTAGATAATATTTGCAACCTCACAGACCTTACCCACTTCGAACACAGTAAACACCGAATCAACACGCACTCTTGAACACAGCATAGTAGTGGAAGTAGTTTGCTTCATCCTGTTGGTTATGTACAACAGATTAAATGAAATGATCTTGTGTGATTTCAATTATTTTGCTCCGCCGAGTTATGAAATTCTGGGCCTAGCCCTTTGCTTTACTGATAATAGTCAACCCAAACCCAAATAAAATGAATCGGAACCAATAGTCACCGTCGAAAAGCTTACCATTCCGGATATCTTCAAACTACTAGGGTGGTGTCAATAACACGAAAGAGTGTCTGTACCATTCCGATTCTCACTTTGCGTTAGCTTCAGCAGACTGAAGTAAATGACCAGTGGGTGTGTGGACTACAATGTCGAATGATTCCGTGTT